TAAAATATATATATTCACATTATGAAACTCTTCCAATTCAAAGTATTTGAGGTTATGAATATGTTGCAAAGTAAATGTAATTTACTATCCCAGTAGTCTAGATGTAGTAACCACATTTTTACTTTATTTCTTAATTGCTTTCCTTGCTTTTTTGTTTTATTAGAAGCAACTACCTTCCCAAAATTGGTTGTAGATGATGAATTCTAATTTTTGAAGTGTAATTTTGTATGCTTGAACAGCCATATCTGCTCCTAACATTTATTATTTATCTAATATTTTTCATAAGTGAAGCCTGCAAATAGATTAATTCTTGGTAAATGGTTTATGCACCACTATGTAGAACTTACTTCTTTAATTACATATCTTGTGTTTTACCATTCATACATTAAAGTTTTTAATATAATAATAATAATTCCTCCTCCCACTTACATTTCATTTACTCTATCCCAGATATTCTACTTCCCACTATCTTTGTCTTGTACTTACTATTAGTGTCCCTGAATTCTTCTTTTTATCCTCTTTGCTATTTGACTATACCCTTGGTTAAATTGTCTAATGAATTTTACAGGTTGACTTCTGTTGAGTTTCAAATTTCTGTGCAAAATGTAGAGTTCTGTCTTGCCACAGCTGAGAGACTTCCTTGTTTAGAATAGATACCAGGATCCGTCTTTCATTTTAAAGGCTCTTTTTTTCTCTATTCACTCTGCTCCCTAGAAGTTGAACAAACTCTTGGATATCCTACCTAAATTATTCTGGCATTTCTACGTATTTATAGTTTTCCTCCTAAAGTGTTAATAGACTTTACATCTGATATCCACATGACAGATGGTCTTTCACTATTAGGGTGAGAGGAGCCCTCTGTTAAGTGTAGCTTTTGTAACCCATGAGGATATAACAGACAGTAATCCTGTTTAGTCAATTCTATATTTTGATAAGTTTATCCAGCATATGTTTCAAAAGTTTTGTTAACTTTCTACACCAGCCCATTTGACAACAATAGTATAAATCTTCACTAATCTTAAAAAATGATAAAATTCAGAACTTGGCAAGCTGTTGACTTTCAAAATCTGTCTTTTGTCCATTAGTACTACATTTTGGACAACAGGCTTAGTGATGAATTGTTCAGCAAAGATACCTATGATGATCTTAGCAGAGTATACCTTGGAACATTTTGTGAAATAGTCTGCCATTATCAAATAATTTAATTACCCCTTGCTGTATAAAGAAGAGGACTACAATATCCATTACTACCCTTTCCATAGGTAACTCTATGTTGAAGTGAAGGTTCTCCTCTTGTTTTTTCTAGTTTTCATGGCACAGATGATGAATGATTTAAGCCACTGAATAACACCCTTTTTATATCATGGCTAGTTGAGCCACAATTTGCAGGATTATCAATTTCAGCTGGTATCCAATCTATTTATGTAGTATATCCATGGATTTTGATCAATGTATGATGGATTATCAACTCTTTCACTGGGCCTCAATGTTTTTTCGACTGTTAGAAGGTAAATTATATGAAGACATAATGAACTTTCAAGTCCATATTGATTTTAATGTGAATGATGCTTGATCTTGGAAGTCTAAATTCTGCAGAGCCATAAATGGAATAATCTGTTGAGTGGTCTTTCTCTCGTGGTTTAGAAATACACAAGTTTTTTTGGTCATGTCTGGTCACCCAATACTATAAACTTGCTTTTATGTAGTTTATGTTGCACTGTTGATCTTTCTGTGCAATAATTTTGTCAAAATTGGTTGAAAGTTTTCCTGGGTATGTTATTATCTTTTCTCTGTAAAGTTATAGTATTCTCTAATCTTCACATCTCTTACTTTTTCTTTTTAGTAGTGAGCCTTGGGCAAGTTTATAGTGAGTGATGCTGCCTTTTCTTATCACATATTCAGGAAGTTCATTCTGGTGTGAATCAAGCAAATTTTTAGGACTTCAATTCAGCCCTTCCTTTTTTGAGGCATAAACTTCTATGTATGTGAGGTTTGAGTAAAAATATTTGTGTAACATTAGACAGTACCTACAAAACTAGTCAATATGAACAATAAGGTAAAGAAAATTAATATCCTCTGGTTAACATGTTTTTAAGAAAGTTCTGATTAAGGAATATCTTTTTCAAATTTGGGATTTACAGATATAAGCTTTATTTATTTCATTAGAAAGCTCTTATAAAATTCTGTTTGCATTTTACAATTAATTTTAGGTATCCTATATACAGTACAGTATCTCAAAATACTTAAAGTTTTACTTGGTTAGCCATGATCTCTTGCAATGTGAATAAAGATGAAAGAAGTTCAACCTTAAAGTATGTCTTTTGCAAATGTTTTAACTTCAAAGTTTTTATGATTGATTATGGAATGACTTAAACTTGGCAGTAATAGTGGGCAGCACCTTATGAAAGTTTAAGACTTGGAAAAGACAGGCTAGCTCCAATTAAGACAGTTTTATTTATCATTAACTATGAAATGAGTTAAATTTGGCAATATGAGTGGCAAGCACTTTACAAAATTTTATGGCTTTCCAAACAATGCAAGATGAATTTAAATTTTTACTTTTCACAAAAATGGGTGTGCAATAACAGCAAGTGTTTCCATTTTGACTATATGTTATACTAATTTGGTAGGAGCATTTTTATGCCAGAGAAAGGCATGGCTGAATCTGAAACTATTAAAGTATCTCTAAGGCCAGTCAAACTAAACTATCTTGGAAAAACCAAGGTGGCCAAAAGCTGGGCAAAGCCCACCACACACACACAAACATACATAACAAAAAAAAAGCTCGTAAATCTTTGCAAATGTGACTGTAAAAACTGTTATTGGTTTTAACACTTTGGTTTCACCCCACTTTGTATTAACAAAGTTGAACACTCATTTCTAGAGAACAAGTATGAGTTTCATCATTCCAGCAATTACAGATATATTAGGCCAAGCACAGTTATATTTTATTTGAATGTATAAGCTTCATTTATCCTGGAAATCAATGAAGTAATATACTATAACAAACTCCAAAAAGAAGAAGACAGTAGTTGATTTCAGCAAAGTCTTGAACCAATTTCAGTAAAAGTATTGTACGACAGATAAAGGAACTCTTTGCATTAGTAATTTTCACCAAGTAGTACAACCATAACTTCCTCGGAATTAAATTCATAAAGTGAGTTAACCACTATTAATTGAAGAGGCATGTGGTATTTTAAACCTACAGGGAATGATTACCTTCTAAATTATGGCTCTTCAGGAGTTAGACTTCAAGATGAAGCACTATTGATCAAGTTCAAAACCTTTCTCTGATGTTACTCATGTTCCATAATTGTAACTATTAGTATATGGGAAATACAACTTATTCATTAACTGGATTCAATGAATAAAACTGTATTCATAAGATATACTCTTGATTTCAACTGTGTCCTTCATTTGGTTGGGAACAACTTAAAAATATATTTCCTTTACGTTTTTGGAGTTATTTATATCCCTGTCATAGGTTGTAAGTTTTAATCCTATAACTAACCAACAAATTGAAACAGATGCCTGTTGTAAGTTTTTCTTCTGAATCCTTCAGATAGTAATTTAAAATAAAACAAAAAATTTCTTTAAAATGTAAGGTGGAATGTGCTTCATTGACTTCAGTCTGACGTTACAGCATATTGTATTGCAGCCCTAAGTATTGTTATGTAATTAAAACATTTACACAATGATTCTTTAAATGCAAGAAAGAAAGATAAATAAAGTTAAAAATTCCCAAAACTGAGATTTATTAAAAACATTGTTGACACCTTTCTTTCCCATTAAGATATGTACATATCAATTTTCTAGATCCTTAGGATAAGCTTCAATTTACTGTTATTTTTGAAACTTTTGATATGTATAAATTAATTTACTACTTTTAGGATTCTAAATTTATTTTCTTTTTGAAACATATTAATAAGATCAAACTGTTGTATTTACGCGTTTTACACTCACCAATTTACACTCACTTGATTTTCGATATCTCACTAGTATGAAGGCTTGGTTTGGTCTGATATTTTATTGGTGGTAGTGTCTAGCGTCACTGATGAGGAGTGGAATTCTCTGAAACTAGTCTGCCCCTCATAGACACACACCCCAATGAAAGAATAGACCATTCCAAGCGCTAACTTGTTGTTAAACAAATGTTTAAACAACTCTAATTATTCAATTATATTAATAAGATAATTAATACAACATAAAAATGCAGATGATTTTTCTGGGATAATACTTCATTTTCTTTAGCATACACAGAAATCTGAAAACAGATCAAATTTGTAAGATATTTGTCACACATCTGTGACTAAAACTTCACCCTCCACTAGTCATAAGCTGTAATTAATCCTGTTGTGTTTTTTATAGCATTTGAAGCTTAAAACAGTAAAATATCTGAAGTTAAGCAACTTTACTCAGTTCAGATATATATTAGGAGCAAAAAATAACAAAACTTCAAAAATCAAAAAGTTTCTACATGTACACAGTTCAGGCAATCATCAGGTGCCTGATGATGATGAAAGCTTATTAAAATATTGTACATTTATAACAGTTTCTTTCACTACCCATTCAAGCCATTTCCAAACTTCATTTTCTAAAAAGTGGGTTCCTCATTATTAAAATTTCACAGACAATCAGTATTAACTTTAATACCTAATACACATAGGTCAAGCAACTTTCACATGTACTCAGTACTGACTTTAATACTTAATACATATAAATCAAGCAACTTTTACATGCACTTGGTATTGACTTTAATATCTGATACATATAAGTCAAGGAACTTTCACGTGTACTTAGTACTGACTTCAATACCAAATACTTAAGTCAACTAACATTCACACATACTTGGCATTGACTAATACCTAATACACATAAGTCAAGCAACTTTCACATGTACTTGATATTGACTTCAATACCAAATACATATAATATTTCAAAATATGAATTTAGTTTTAACATATGTTATTACAAAAAACATAAGCTTTAAAAGATCCTACCTTTCTAATATTGTAGGAGTCAACAAAACATGGAGAGGCCATGTAACTTCATACGACAAGCCTATGTTACACCATCCTATCTCAACTTCATCAACTTTCTCTGGTTCTGGTGAAAGGTTTCCATTAACAACAATACAAAAAACATTATATTTTGTAGTTCAGTAATAATAAAAATGCAAACAATCACATCTAAATAAGAATAATTTTAAACAAAAAAACAGCCACATATAACAATACAGTAATTTCAAATAAAAAACAACCACAGCTAACATAAGTTCAATAATTATAAACAGAGAGTAATCATATTTATTAGATTAATATTCTTAAACAAAAATCAATCAAACATTTAAAATATACAACTTAAAACAGAAAACATTAATATCTAAAAGCTTGTTAGTTTTATATCTATAACTTTTTTGGTGACTCACAGATATAACTGAAGAATTAAAAATGACAATACTCGAGACAATGATAAAAGAAGAAAAAAGTAACTGGAATGTGAAGACAGTGAAAAACTTTGATAATGAAGTTAAACTATAAAAAGTCAAAGAACTAGCACAAGAATTGTTTCTGGTTGGCTAATGACTTAGACAGGTCTTAGAGAAGACTGACACATGAACTAGCTCTGTATCTATACACTTCATGACCCCCAATATTACTGTGACTCATCGTCAGTTTTTTGCCCTGCGTTCTATGATTTGGCTTGTTTTGCAACTTTTTTTTTGCCCCATTATTAATTATTTTTATTCTCTTGATTATTTACTCAGGATCACAATATCTACTTTAATATCATTATTATATACATGTCTCATTGCTACTAGTTCTGTTACCACATGGCTCTTACATTCCTTTGACACTTCCACGCACTGAGGGTAGTTGCAATGTACTCATCTTTTAATTCAACTTCCATGTAGATATATATATATATGTGTGTGTGTGTGTATTTATATACATAGTGAGACTGATAGATATATTTAAAACAAAAATGCTGCTTCAATATTATTTGCAGGTCTTATACATCAACTGGTTTACTGTTCAGGCTTAACGGCAGAAGTTAAGTTTTTAGTATCTGTTTTTTCATTTGGTTATCACTCTATTCTGGTCATGCGAGTAATATTTTTTTTCTCTGATGTTCATTAGGTCTACTCATACTTCTCATGTAGGCCTCCCTCTAAGTCAGCAGTAAGCTTACAGACTTCCAGCAATAAACTCCAAAGTTTGGTTACCCATGGTAGATGGAGCACAGATAGCCTGTTGTGTAGCTTTGCACTTAAACACATAACTTTTTAGATAGCCTAGTATCAGTGTAAATGAAGTGGGTTTCTGTGACTTTCTCACTGACTCTGTTCCAGAATACTCCTCCATACTCACTTTTGGGGATCATCTTAGAATTTTGTTTATCAGATCCTTCACTTTAAGTTGGATCTGGAGGTTTCAGATCTTTTCTATTCCAAAGGTATATTGAGGCTGTACTTTATGCTACCTCAGGGTTTTACTTACATCTCTTCATGATGACACAGACAACAAGAGATTTGGAACTGGTCATAGATCTTTCCAGTTGCATTTGCTATCTATGTATTTCTCATTCTCAAGTAGAACCTATGTGAATCTCATGCCGTTACCTTTGCTAAAGTTTTTAGATAACAAATGGAGTATCAAATTACTCTTATATGCATGTACTGATTCACCATCTTCATTTTTCACACATTGATTTGTCCAATTATAACCTTTTGATCTGGAATACCACTCTAAGTATTCACATGTGTAATCACACACCTTTTGTTGTTTCCCATACAATATTGTCATCTTTATGTGGATGATTAGAGGATTATTACTCAGTGATTGCTTATCATCAATTTGTCCTCTCAGTTTGCTTCTGCTCTGGATGGGGCAGTTCATGTGCCCAAGTCTCAGCTTATGCCTATCAATATCTTGCTCATTTGATATTATATTTTATCATGCTCTCTTGAACTCTTCACACATCTCCTTGCATTTTAGGTGCACATGCTTCTCCATCTTCCAAACATATCCTCTCTCATTTGGGAATGATGACTTTTTCTTCAATGGCATTTCTCATGGAGTGGGGGGACTGTTATCTTTAGTATGTGTACTCTTCTTGTATATTCCATTCTCACATTTATATGTTTAAGGATTTGGATTGTTCCACATGCATGTCAAGAGTTCCTGCTTTGTTACCCTCCTGCTGTATTCTTGTACTCACAGACACTTCAACTGTGATGAAATATATCAACATGCTAGGTGGAACCCTCTCACAGCTTTTGTTTGATATGTTTTCTGTTTGTTTGTTTCTTGTGGCTGTATTGACACAATTACTTTCTTTGAACTCGTATTCCATGGGGTGTGCAAATAGTTTGATCATTCTCTTTTTGATGCATTATTGATGGAAGTGCACCATCTCCTAATGCTTTACTGGTTTTCAGTTCCATCTTTTCTAGTAGTGGATGCTTTAAGCCTGTTGGGAGGAAAAAAAAGTATACCTTCACCTTTCTCAGGTTTAGAATAAGATCAGTTAGTGCCAGTGTCCAGTTCTTCTTCTTTCACAAGTGTGCCTGCTCCACCTTGGTCTTCACTTCTCTTGTCAATCTCATAGTATTCCTATTCTATTACTTTTGCTACATTTTCTGTAATGACATTTATTAGTGAAGTTGGCTTCTTCTCTTGGGTAGGTAGAATGTTAATATACATCTCTTTTATGGTTGGAGCTTGCCTGTTTCTCTTACAGGTTAAAGAGCTACTCTCTCAGACACTTTCTGTTGTCATAGAAATTGTGTGTCCACGAGGTCTCTGTTATATTTTCACTTCTTTTCAAGATATTGGCCTTCAGCAGGAGTGAAGTCTAGTCTTCTGCTGCCCAGCTTATATTTTTGTAGCCTTACAACTTGTTCTCTCAATTCTTTTTTTGCTGAAAATGCATTTTATTTTGTTACTAACTTCAAAGTGAAGAAATTCAGACCTTTTTCCTATTGATGTTTCTCCTACTTGGGCTGCTACTTGTTTGTTCCTACTTTTGCAAGAACGAAATCTTATAAAAAAAAAATCACCATTGGTTATTTATATCTTATGATGATTCTTGTTCCACAAATCTTGCTTTATCCAGATTAATGAATTGGCTTGTGCAACTAGTTACATTTTTTGTTTTTCATAGCTTTTTTCTTTTCTGTCACTTACAACCATACAATTTGCAGGAGATCTTATTTGCTCGGTTACTTCCATTATATGTCAGCCGACAGTGAAATCACTGTAAAGCTAGAGTGTTTCATACTTACTAACAATGCTATTCAAACAATTTACAATATTTATTTTATTGCTAAATTTTGAAAATTTGTATTTTTTTACATTTTTTCGTTTTAATCCTAAGCATTGAATAGGAGGAGGGGAGGGGTAGGATCTTATCTCCAATGCAGAGGAATGAGCACCCATTTTGTTTCAAGTTCCCATATATTTTGGAAAGTTTATGATTTTCCCAAAACAAATTGAGCTTTTGAGTGAACATAATAACTCACTATAAACATAAAAAAATTATTAAATGAATTTCGTAGCTGGAGATAAAGGGTGTAAACATAAGATTAACATTACTCTTATGCATGACCATCTGTGTTAGGATTAATTTGACTTTTGTTTCTTAGATTTATAAAGCAAAAGGACAAATAAAAATTTAACATACTAATAACATCTCTGAATATGAATATTATCATGGAGATTTTATTTTAGTAGGCATCTGATTTAGTGCACTATAAACTCCTAAAAACTTTTTTTCTTAAATTGGATGAATTTTTGTGAACCTAGACTTGTGACAATCCTACAACCATCAAACTCACCTCTTTTCTTTCATGCTAAATAAATTATACTTTGTTTCATTTTGCAGATGCACTGGTTAATAATTCTAAGAATTATTTTTGTATGTTTGTTTGTTAATTCTTCTAAGA